TTTTACACCCTATTCCGGCTCATAGCTCTAGATACCAAAAGTGGGATGGTTAATCGACTTCTCTCCCTGTGAATCGTTCCATTACGTTTGTATAAGAACCACAGTGGAAACAAATACATTTGACATTGAATTTTTGTGTTTTTTAACTTGAAGACTCAAGAAGGACTTTGGGTTTGTGTAGAATATCTGCCGTAGTAGCTGCTTGTTAAAAAAGTGTAGCAGCCAGAATGAACAGGATTGTTTTAAAAGAAGTTAAAATGAACTGCAAAGAAAAAGGGCTTTTTTTGATCCTTAGCTTTAAAGAAGAAATTTAAAAACAACCAGTCTTTTAACGACTGTAATCCTATTATCCTCTAAATACACTGGTAGAATTTATCAAGGGAGTTAACGGTTTATCATAGTAGATTTTGAGGAAGAAGAGCCGTGGAAAATTTCTTTGTTGTTGTTTCAACACAGAAAAGTCACCAACAAGTTTCGATTATAACTTTTCCGTCACAGTTTGTTTGTTTTTTTTTATTTGTTTTTCCAAACTTTCACTTTTTTAAACAACCCTTTTATCCCAGCAACTATATTTTTTTTTAGCTAATTCCCACTGGATTTTCTACACTGATCCAAAAGTTCTATTTAAGGTGTTTGGTTGGAGATAAGAAACTTTACTATGATGTCAAAAGTGTTAATTTTGCTTGGAATGCTTTACTTCACATGCAACCGCGGTGGGACAATTCGCAAAGGGAGGTAGTTGGTTATGCAGCCCGCGCACGATGCGCGGCAAATCACAGACAACTTCGGCTCCGCATCGAGCGTTTGTTTCTATGCTGTTCTGCTTCATAAATTTTTTAAGCCCAGAGTAAAAATGGGGACAAAACTCTCAGTTTCTTATGAAGGCACGTATCATCCAGAAATTGCTCCTCGACTAGATCGTCCTCCGACATTTGACCCTTTATATGGCTTTCCTAAAGGTCGTAAACCAAGGGAAATGAAAGCAACTTGGGATGAAATGAACGATTGGAATTTGTCAATTGGTGAGAGAGACTATTGCGCTCACCTGTTAATCGAGTTGAAGCGTTGTCAGGTAAGATCATTTCTTATTTTTTGACTGCTTCTTCCCCTAGCTTTGATACGTTTGCTAAAAGAGGCCCACGAACTACCCCTCGTTTGTCCCTTCTTTTTACAGAAGTGGGTTTTTTTCGTTTTGGTTGAGGAATTTGTATAGCTATCCATAATTTCTCTGATGGTGTGAGGGGAGGGAAGCGGACCAAAATAGCACAACACTTTTTTCACCTATGGATCTTACTCAAAAAATGATAGCTTTGAAGGTTAAATAGTAAACGTAAAAGAAACCTCAAAAAAGAAGTTTTACAAGTAGTTTATGACAACTTTTTCGCTTTAAATTTTGATGGTGAAACAGAATCGGGGTCAGCTTGGATTACAGTTCTTTTAAGTTTCTTGCAACACCGTCTTCCCGAGTTTCGTCATCTTTCTCCATTTTTGGGGAAGTCAGGCAAGGAGGGATGTTGGATTCCACCAGATTGTGGAAAGGCGATCGCCACGCGGTTCTACCTTTTTTTTTTTTTTCCGGGCGCATGAAACAGTGGGAGAAAAAAAGATTGTTTGTTCTTCTATAGAACTTTGAAATGAGCCAAAAGTAACTTCTGGTTGATTAACCTGAATTTTAAAATTGCTTTCAAAAAATAAATAAATGGCTGAAAGTTTTGAGTTTGTCGTCAAAAAACGGGGCCCGTAGTATTTTGTTAGGTTGTCGGTTTTGGCCTTGGAACACGTTTATTTGTTAAGACATAACGTTTTCAGTGGAAACAGTTTTGTTGTTTAGTAGTACGCATTATTTAAATCTAGTCCTTTCTTACTGGTAAAGTCGACCTCAAAGAAATAGATAGTTTCGAAACATTCCGACATGCTGCTGCTTTTGCTAGCGCACTTCGATCAGTGGTCATTTTTGGGAAAAACGGCATTTTTCATCACTGTTGGATCTTAATCTGTGCATTTCTGTTTCCCTCGTTCATTTTTTATGGGGAATTTTTTTAGGAAGTTCTGCACGTGTAATGATAACGCACGATAAAAATCTCAGGAAAAGCTGGGTTGACTTCAGTATTGTTCTTTAGGTGTTATTTCAGATTTTTAGCTTTAAAAATTACTTAGAAAACGAACTAGCGCGAATCAGATATTGCGGATAACTACGTGTTGGCGGCTCATAAAGATTCTGGAATGTAATTTGGAATTTTATAGACTGTTGCTCTTGGGAACGTGCAAAACTTTTTTTGTTTTACTAGTTTTACAGTAATTGGCTGAAGCAAATGTATAGGGAATTTGGTGCAAAATGGTAGCTAGTTTGGACGGTAGTTGTGACTTTAGTACAGCTTACACTTTCTGCATAGGTAAGCGAGATAGACGTGAAATTCAGCGGGAAATAAGTAAAATACTATGCAGGTGGCAGGTATAAATTAGCCAGAGAGGGTGTGTCAGGAGAATGAGAGATTTTTTTTGTTTTTATTTTTATTATCAATAATCATGCGTGTATTACTACTCTTTTGAAGGTTTTATAAAGTGTTTTTCAGCCTTTTTTCTGACAAATCATTTCCTTTAAAGCAAAATTGTTGATATTGCTGCTTGGGTGGCCCACTCCTTCAACTGAATTGTGCGTAGTTTTAGTCCGGTATTCAATTGTGCCTATCCTGTTCGCTAAACTGGGTAAAGGAATCTTTCGTCTTGATTCCTTTCCTATTAGAACTTGCGTTCAAGTCGAGTCGTCTTACTCGTTACCAGAGTTCACCTGAAAGATTGGCATTACAGAACTTAACCAAAGCCCTGATTTGTCAAAATCAGAAATTTAGATTGTTTGTTCAGCATTTGTGAAATTGATTGTAGTTCTTGGAGGAGGAGGAATTACTCATGCAGTGCGGTTAAGGCGGACAAGTTACAAAAGTATTATTTGGCTGTTAAGGTTGGATTGTGATATGGGGACGTTTTTTTATTTCTGGGAAGAGGGAATAAGAACTTTCTATTTCACGAATAAGACTTATGTATATGCAGTAATCTCAGTTCTTTCTCTTTTGATGGGAACACACAGAAGAGACGAGTAAATTTTAAAATAGTTTATGACAAATCAACCTCTCTAAAGTAGTAGTCGTTGCACTCGATTCCAGATCATTATTGTTGACTTGAGCAGAGACTAACCATTTTTTTACATTTTTGTTAGAGGCGGCTTTTGGTACCTTTGGTTTTGGTTCTCTTTGTTTCAGTGCTTCATGAATTTTTTTTTGGCTTATCATTTATCACTTAAATTTCTAGCTGTTCTTCTTTCAAATGGCGTTCTTCCTGCATTTGTGACCTCTCGCTGTGGAAATTTTAGGTTAAGCGGGACATCATTCAGCTTTTTCAAGAAGCATAAGAAACCTTTCTCTGTGGTTTACGGCACCAACTAACCCAAATATCTGGTTTAATTTTCTGTTTTTGAGCTGGAAAATTCTTACTGTTTGTTTGCCAAAAAAAAAGAATCTAACACTTCACATTAGACCTCTGATGCTGATATAGAACCTTCCATTACTTCTGTTGAAAAGTGTGGCACCAAATGGTCTATTTTTTTTCGTCGCTTTCAAAAGCCAAGGGATGTCGGCATTTGTTCGAACACCTCTATTTTTCAAACAGGGGTTTCTTTTAAAGAGTTAGCAGAAAGAATTTAGGTTTAAGGCTTTTGAAAAGCCCAACTATGCGATTTGAAAAAAATGGAACTTAGATTCCTCATGTGTAGCGTACATTGTGGATACCCAGAAAATTTGAAAGCTTTCGGGCCGTCTTACATTGTATTGCAAGCAGATGTGGACATTCGATTGTGATAAGAGAAGGATTTGCAGAGATAGGCAAACTTCTCGCTAGTGTACACTTCAGATCTCAAGAAAAAACTTCTTTTTTTGCAGCGGAATTTTCATTCAAGTTTATAATCTCACCACTTGCAAAACATGAGTGTGACTTTATGGTTAGACACGTGTTTTCTGAAATCAGAAATATACAAATTAGTTCAGTGGAAAGTTGAGGTTTACGAGAGATGTACCTCACAAAAGTGTTATAAAGAATATATGTATATATCGTTATTTTTTTTGAAGCGACAAATTTTTTGCTAGATTTTGTACCCTGCAAGATTAAAAATTTCATTGCGAGACGAGAGTTAGATGACCAGTTACAATGGAATGATTAGTAAAGGTGGGGAGGAAAGGTAAGAAAGTCTCCTTTTTCTGTTCCCAGGTGGTTGAAGGATTAACAGGTTGGCTTTAGTGGTCCTCCGTTTGTAAAGATTATATCTCAGTTTCTACATTGTCTCACTCCATAATGGCGTCTATTTTGTTGTGAAGCCTGTTTCAGAGGCAAAATGCTCCATTTGCTGGTCACGTTTGTGAAGATGCGCGTCAGGCGTGGGACAGATGCGAGTATGAGGATTATATAATGCGAATAAAGGAGTTTGAACGAGAGAGGCGTTTGTTGAAAAGAATGTACAGGAAGAAACATGCTGAAAAGCAGTACGGAGAAGAGGTAGCAGCAGTGTAAAGCTCATTGTTGAAGAACTATTTTGCACAAAACAGTTTTATGGGTGTGTTTTATTTGAGATGGAGCGTGGTCGTAACATTACATTATAGCTGCATTTCCCATTGAAATTTGTTTTGTATTTCTTTATTTAAAGTCTGCCTGTAACTTCAAAGCTTCATATAGTGTTTAATGTTTGTAATAAGATAAGCACATGCCTTTGTTACTGCTGTATAGATTTACTAGTGAGTCTCTGGTTGAGTAAAAAATGTTTGGAATGTTTCTTACTAAGACAGTTTCTAAAATACTTTTCAATATGTTATTTATCAATTACGATAGCGAACTTTTGCTGGAAATGAAAGAAACGTTCATTGAAAAAGAACGTTATTACGTTCCCAGTAGATTTATATTTTTTGTTTTACTAGTCGGCCAGTTGGGGGAGGGGGGTTGATTACCCTCAATTTCTTGCCAGAAATAATCAGATTTTGTTTGAAAAGCGGAAGAAGTTGGTTTTTTAAGTGAGGGATGGATTCCTTTATGACTGTCCTCGTATGCTCTAAACATTTTTGGTGTTGGCAAGCCTAATACCATTCGGTACAATGATGGTAATGTAAGGGTATATGAGAGACATTTCATGTGTGCTGCAGCCTGATTCCTGGTGGGCGCTCTTGAAAAAGTTGCAGTGTTGTTTGTGACGCGCATCGTTCTGCAGCGATCATTGTTTAATCACTATGATTTTAAGGGGCTTTGGAAGCAAATTTCATAAGATGTTGACGTTTGCATAGTAGTTTCGTTATTGTTGCGAATGTGGCGGAGTTATGGCTTGGCGCAGTTGTCGCCAGTACGCTTTCTTTAAATCAAACTTTTTAAGTTCTTATGGAGGTACACTTAAAGTACATCGTCAGTGAAAAACTACTGGAAAAAAATATTTTGCCTACGTGTGAATACTTTTGTCATTTGAGCAGTAGCGACTCGAATTCATTGGAGCTTCGGGAACTTGGTTGGTTGGCTCTTTCGAAATTGGTACGGACCAGTACAGGGAGTGTACTCAGCAAAATTACGTCCAGAATTCAGGTGATTGTAAAGTTCTCTAACTATATTGGTCTTTGCGTCTTGCCTGGTTGTCTTTATTCGGGGTGGGTTTCAGAATTAATGTTTTGATGCGTCTGCTGAGACATCACGTTTTGGCACTAACTTTGTAAGGGGTGTGTTGAAGCGTAATTTTGCCATTAGAACTGAGTCTGCGATTAGGAGCGGAAAGTTTGAAGTAAAAGATTCCTTGTAACAGCTGCTTTTAAAAAATAGATATTTTTGAAGGGGGCATCTGAATTTAGGTTGGTTGTCAGAGTTTAAGACTCATTTGGTTGGTTTTCCTTACGTTATATGTAACTTGGGGTTTGCGGAAAGGCTTTGTTTCTTTGTATTGTTATATAATTCAGTGCAGAACTTAGGAAAGCCTCGATAAAAAATGAGTTTAGAAACGTCTTGTGGATTTGGAGAAACAACCCGTTACGGTTGGAACAACTCATTTTGTTTGTGCAGCTCTCACGTCCTTCCCATCGTTGAAAAGCTCACATCCTGGTACGCTTGCCTTGATAATAGGTCGTATAATTGATCGAGGTGTTCAAAGCGGAGATAATGATTACATCTAGTAAGCAGTTTTCTAAAATAAATACCCGGTGTTATGCGCTTAAAGGTCTTTACAGCATCCGATTGAATACCCACTCTTGCGAAAAAAACCACTTCATCCATGACTTGACTGAAGTGGAGAAAACTTATTTTCTCTTAGTCCCAAAATAACTTTATTGAAATATTTTTAGTAAAAAATCTTCAGTATAGCTGCGCAGATGGAGTTCAATTGTGCTGAAGAGGCGTTATCTTGGCGCTTTCAAAAAAGTTGTATTTATTTTACATTAACTACTTACTGGTTGACTTTAGTTTGACTGCTCACACGTTTTCATTGTACGCTGATGAATCCGCGGAAGATTTGCTATTCGGTGCAGTTCTCCACTGTTTGAATGGTAGTATTGATAGCAACATTCTTCTGCGGACTGAAAGCTGTTACCATCATACTTCTCGGAAACGGTTCATTTCCACGGTGTTCAAGATACTTTCGGTGCTTATAGAGCGTCATTTACCGAGTATGCTTTTGCTAAATAATGTTCCATTTATTACTGCTTTGCAAGACGAGAGCATTTGCCGCAGACCTTGCTGAGAATTTTAGGGACTCACTCGCTGAAACTTTTGAAACATTGAAACATAAAAATTAAATGTAAATTTGGAGGCATTTCGCCTAGCAGGAAAAAGATGCGCAGAACGCTACGTTTACTGGGTACTTGTTAAATTTTTTAAATTAACATTTAAATCTCTGTAAGAAGAAGAAACTTGCAAAATTTTGTTAAAATCATTAAAGTTGACTTCCGATTTTAATGGATTAGATGGGAGCCAATAACTGATTTGGCATTTATAAAATTTTCAAGAAATAATTCCATCTAGGAACAGCTGTTTCGCTTTTTGAATGGATCGACGTTGCTCGCTCTGCTTTGAAACTTAGGGATGACGGAGTTGCTGAGTCAGTCTACAAGTGGTTAGGAAGTGTTGGCCTTCACAGTGGTTTAAATGCAGCGCCGTTGACGAGGAGGATATTTTCTGTATTCGTTGATTTTCCACACGCTTTAGACGCATTTTACACTGCATTTAGTTATTTTTACCACTCAGTTGGAGATTCAGAAATGGCTTACTCAGCTTTGAAACTTGTTGTGGGTACAACGTCCCAATCGTGGGACCAACAGGTAAATAATGTAACTCTTCAATTTAAAGATATTTAATATTGGATTATTGCTAGTAATAGTAACCTTGAAGTTCTCCACTAAACTTACACCTTAAAATTGTTTTCCTTTTGAATATGTTACTAATCAGTCAGTGCGTTGGTCAGGTACATGCTGGAAGCTTCCTGAAAGCTGTCTCTACGATTCTTTTGTTCAAGACATACTTACTAAAGCCGCAAGATGTAATATCATTGCAAAGGGAAGTCTGCAGGGAAGTGTTACGAAACCCATACAATCTTTACTACCTCCATCTTCTTACCACACTGCTTGGCGTGAGCCATGAAGCGGTCCCATCGCCTGTAGAGGTACAGTTGGTCATGAAGAAGTTAATGGAAATCTTGAAATTTCCTTTTACACTTAATGTTCCATTTTCAGTTGGTTCAGAGCGTATTCTCTACTGCATGCTATGATACCAAATACTTCCACCTCCTTGGTTATGCGCAGTCTTTGTGTTGTTCAATTTCGAGACCGAAAGCTCACCTTGTTGCAAATTTTGATAAGTGGTCTAAAAGAGTGGAAGAGGTGCTCAATTTGAGCAGGCAGGAAGGTACTGCACCGTACACTACAAACAATCTTCACATGGGCTTTTCATATAGGACTGTTACTACGGATGGTATTGACTGCTGTGACTCATTGGACCGTTTCGGAGAAATTAATTTTTTTTTTTTTTTGAAAAAGCAGTTAACTTCCATAATTTTAGAACATCAGAAATTTAATCACGAGAATAAGCTACGTTCACCAGTCAAAAACCATCGTGAATACCCCCTCGACTTTTATAGGGAGCAGTAGGGAGGCCGAAGCGGATACTTCACCGGTGAACCGACCATGCTCTGCAGTTAAACAAGAGTCACCGAAATGTTTACCGTTAGGTGAGGGTGAAGAATTAAAGAATTTTGATGAAGAATTCGAAGTTATTTTAATGGAAAGTGACTCAAAAAGAGATTCGCCAAAAAAGGTAATACATGTGGGTAGGAAACCAGCTAATATTTGGAGTAAGCGAAGTAACTGGAATAATCCACGGCAGGACAAAAAGATTGATGGGGATTGCACCGACGACTTTGAAAGCCAAAGGCATAGTGGACTCATGACTGCTGAACAAATGTTAGAAGATCTTTATGTTGACTGATTACAACGTTTTGTCAGTGTTATTTTTCTCACTGAATGAATAGTGAACCATTACTGTTATCTTCTCTTTTCCTACGCAATCTAGCAAAAAACTAGTTCTTTTTCAGAATTAAAATTTGCTGCTTCAAGCAGCTTTAGTGGTAACTGTGATAATCTCTGCAACTATTTCTTCCTCACAGGCTGTTTTTTCTTTCGCTTATGAACCGATTATTTAAGTTCCCGATTTAAAACGTACGAAGTTTATAACGAAAAGTTCCTGTTACACCGACGTTCTAACTTTTAAATATTTCGATACAAGTTATTTACAACAGCAGCGAAAATGGAAGATACAAATGTTGTGCACCTTTGTTTTTTTGTAAAAATATTGAACACTTCACACACCAGACACCTGTAAAAACTTTAAATTATTATTCTCACTGCGCTACTGAAACTGGATGTCTTTTCCTGGTAAATATATAGTCTCTGCCATCTCGGACACATTCTCGCGTAACATGGACACTTTCGATGTCGCTGCCAGGAACCAGAAACTTTGCTTCCAACAAAACCTAGAAACACCTTGTTGACAAAGCAATGTGACCGCAGTCGTGAGTACTGTTAGAAACCCGTTTTCCTCCGATCCCAGTTTCGAGAGTAGCTCGTGCAGTAGTTTTTGGTGAAAGAAAGCAGATGAAGGAAAGCGGACTACATCGTTTTAAATACCCTTGAACTTAATGTTAAAACAATCTTATCTCTGCTGCACATTTAGACAATAGCTTGAGTCATGAAGCTTTATGGAATAGTTGGTTTTTAACAGGAAAAAGCCCTTATCTTTTTGCATGACTCATAAAACAAACTTTAAAAAATGATACACAGAATCGTAAATATAAAGAAGTTTTTATAAAAGGAAATAAAGAGTGCGGAGAGCGGCAAATTAACCTCCTTTTCGTTTTACTCACAGAAAAAGAAAAAGAGATTACCAGCAAGAGTGACAAAGTAGAAGCACGTTATTTCTAAACACCAAAATTAATAAACACTGTTACTGGAACTGTTACCTTCTCGATAATCGAACGCAAAGCCCTCGCACCCGTTTTACGTTCTAAAGCCATTTGAGCAATCTCATCTAAAGCTTCGGGTGAGAACGACAAATCAACGCCATCCATAGCAAACTGAAGTTTTACTTGAGCCAGAAGTGAGTTTGCTGGCTCCGTCAAAACTTTTTTAAGCATTGTCTAAATGATACGAGAAAATTTTAATAAGGTTTACCTACCCAACCACTTGAAAAACGTCAGGACTATGAACAAATTTTGGGTCTAACTCAGCAAGAATCTCCTGTCAAAATCACCAGAAAACAATTAGGTATTAAAGACTACCTTGTCAAAACTATGGAAGGGAACAATAACAGGGAACCGTCCAACCAACTCCGGAACAATACCGAAAGAAATTAAGTCTCCTTGATCAGCTTGTTTCAGAAGGTCATCTCTTTTTTTTGAAATAACACTTTCCGCTTTATCATCCCTAGTTATCCGCTGACCATCCGACCTTGCTCCTGAAGCAAATAATTCTAGGGTCTAACTTTGTCAAGAGTAATAAATGAGAATCCTTGTGAGCCACAGGACCTTGACCAATGAAAGTATCCTCCTCACAAACCTCCTCCAAAGTATGTTTCAAAAACCCCTGTCAGTTATACCAACTTCAATGCTGTTACTTTCCCAGACTAAGTTCGTAAAATACCACTAACCAAATCCTAAAATTTTTTCATCAAGTCGTTTTCCCACAATCCGTTCAAGAGCAGTGAATGCACCAGATGCAACAAATAGTATATCTGACGTATCTACTTGTAACAAGTCTTGCTGGCCAGCAACAGACTTCCTTCCACTTTTCACATTCACAACAGTACCTAGATAAGAGCATTTAGAGAAACTTTAACGCAAAAGAATGAAACTTTATTGCTTTATGCAATTGAAACTACCTTCCACAAGTTTTAGAAGTGCATGCTGAACTCCTTCTCCGCTAACATCTCTAAACATATGCGACGGCGCATTTCTAGCAGCTGCAATTTTATCAATTTCGTCCAGAAAGACAATGCCCTGCTGCGCACGGTCGACATTACCACCTGCATTTTGAAGAAGTTTTTGTATAACACTTTCAACATCTTCACCAACATATCTGCAATATATCAAAAGAATTATAACGAAACTACTCAGACGAAACGCATAAATAAGAGAAATTACAACGAAACATTAGAAATCAAAATAAGTCTATAGATCAAGCACCCTGCTTGAGTCATTGAAGTGCAGTCGCATAATGCCATTGGGACGTCGAGAACTCTTGCGAGCGTCTGAGTAAGGAAAGTCTTACCAACACCAGAGGGTCCAATCAAAAGAATGTTAGATTTTTCAAGACGGATTGGCCCATTGGTCTCTGGGAACGAGTGAAATTTCGGAGCTGTGGAGGAAGGCGAGGGAAGTGTCTCCGGATATGCCCCACTAACGGTAATACGATATTCGCTGCGTGTTACACGGAAATCATCTGTTAGTCTAGGATTCGGGGAACTATTTCTTGTCAGCTCTGACGCTGCTGATGATCCAATTTTGTTTTCAAGATTATGATTAAGACGTCGATAATGCTGATACACTCCAACAGCCAGAGTTTTTTTCGCTTGGCTTTGTCCCACAACAAACCTATCAAGGTACTCACATATCTGGAAATTAGGACTTAAAACCAACATATCGAAATGTAGCAAACAGTGCAACTGTAAAGAAGGTCAGTTAAAATCATGCCTGTGACGGGTACGGAGGTTTACGACTACCCTCGAAATCATTAAATTTTTGCAAACTCTGATTCTCTTCATCCGGTGAAGAGCTGCTATACAACCTATTGCAACTTTCGCAATGAAGGTAACGTGGCGACGCTACAAAGTATTCACTTGTTTTCGAATTTGAACCAAAACGATGTTTTAATTTTAGTAAATATTATAAAAAAACTTT